CTGAGGCCGTGAACTAAGCCTGATCCTGGTATAAAATGTGATCTGAAAAGAAGAGAGAAGGGGAGAGCCCAATAGTGAGGAAGTATCTTCTTCTTCTTCAGATTTTAGAGAGAGAAAGGGCGAACCAAGGAAGAAGGAAGGCTAGGGTTTGCTCCAAGTGGTGAATTGGGAAGAATATCCCCAAGATAAGATCAACACAAGCTTAGAGGAGATTGGAGGAATCACCATGATGGTTTCTACCTCTTTCTCTTGTGTTCTTCCCCTTTCTAGCATGGAATGGTACTCTTTTTCACTTGGGTGTTGTGAAACCCTAACTATTTGCCATGTAGTTGTAGTGTGACTTGAATGATTGTTTATGGGTGTTGTTTAATTTAATGATTGAGGTATTTTTCATGATGATTGTGCATGTGTATGCTTAGCAATCTAATTGGCCATTCTAACCTAGGTTAGAGGGGAAAGCCCCCTTTCCAAAAGAGGCTCAATTGAGTTGGGATTCCTTGGGCTTGACAAGCCACCTACCTGGGTTAATGTAGGGAAACCCTCTATCTTGAATTAAGCAACTAGGTTAATCATGATTAAGTCGTCCAACTATCGGTTTGAAGGAGAAGGTAAGCCAACCCTTAATTGCCTTAACCAAGAGGGCTACTCTTGTAGCCTATAATGTATCCCTTGGTTTGGCAATTGAGAGTGTGGTCCTTGACCATAGTTGCACCTCCTAGCGGTTTATGATTGCCTTGCCCATAACGTCCCATTCGAGTCCACGTGCTATGGTAGTAGTTAGGGGGAAGCTACACCCGAGTGGTCCTTCTCATATAGAACTTTCAAACCATTTACCTTTGCTTTGCTTTATTTTGATTTAAATCTCATAGTTTTCAACCAAAAATCAATTCGCTAGATAATGCTTCAAACAATGGAAGTAGGGGTACACGGATCGACCCGGGTTGATATTTAAACATACTTGCCCTATATTGGACCCATCTAAGTTTTATACTTGGGCCTTAGGTGAGAATTTATTATGATATTCGGGACGAGTCAAGAAATCAATGCTTAAGACTAAAGCGAACAAGCAATCATCGTTGTGGTAAAAGGCAATATGCATTTTCACCATTGCGGACAAAAGCGATCAACATAAACCGCTGGTGTCGGATGTGGCCTATACCTCGTCGCTCTAGTCTAAAGAGATTAATTGTCAACCAAACAGTTTTCCTCTCACAAACATGTCTCCAGGATAGGGTTAGCTGGGAGTTGTGGGTCAAATGATCAAAGAATTTATCGCTTCTATCCTAAGCGGTAATAGTGCAAATCGTTGAGGCCAAAAGAGATCAAAGATTAAACCACTTTGCCCTAAAATGATTAATGCTTAGATATCATGAAATAAATACCATCACCTACCACCCATTTCTCATCATTCTCATTTCCTCTTCAACATCCTCTACCACCCATTTTTGCCACCCTCATTTCCCCTTATCCACTTAAAGAAGCAACAACAAGCCATCAACAAAAGTCTCCCCTAAACTTCAGCTCACTTGATAAGGTAAGAATGAATTTGTTTAATATGCTTACGTTTGAATAGTTATATTTTGGGTTTCATTTATTACAGTTCGTGTCAGTTATGCTAATTATCTATATTTAAATATATTGTAGGATATATTGGTTTTTGAATGTCCATTGCATGGCTTATTAGGATTTTGGATGTAGTATGTAGGTTATATTACTCTTGTTGAATTTAGATTACATATTAAATTGAATATGATTCCACCAAGACTTGTCAAACACCTCAGAGTAATACAAAAAAGAGTGCTCGGTTTGATGGTCATTTATGTTTTCTCAAATCCACCTTGTAAATAAAGGTAAGCATGTAAGGACCTTAAAACACAATAGCAATAAAATACATACTTACGAAGTTGAAAGTAAACTAAACTTACTTAGCACAACAATGAGCACCTCATAGTGGTTCGTCATTCACTCAATAGTCTTGTAGGCAACTCGGTGCGAACTTCAGAAGATGTTCTCTTGCCTAAAGTTGGAAGATGAACATAGCACCACCGACTTGTTTTGTAGTCAACTTCAAGCATGCACATAGCTCTCAGTACACTTTCGCTAACACAAGAAGATCCCCAACTCTTTGTCCCCATCACGTCATAGTCAGTGAGGATCCATGGAAGCCACAATGCCATTTATCCAACTATTCGTGTTTTTTAGAAACATTACTCCACCAACCAAGGCAATAAGGCAAACATGGGATATTGTCGTCCACCTCTACCTCTTACTTCATATGATCAATGAGCCATGATATCAATACTTGTCTCACATTCAATGAAAGATGACATGGTCCCACTACCTCAATCGACATGAGGAAGCCAAAAACGTCCCCTAATCAGTTGCCCCAAGCCTTCTTAGGGAATAGCCTGCTTCCACATGATGGCCTTTCTAGTGGTCAACCACTTAGCGAGGAACACAAGTACACAACATCTCTCAATGTGATCGTCATCTCCCTTGAAGGGAAATAGAAGGAATGTATCCTAGGTCGCCAAGTCTCTGATATAGCCGTAAAAAAAACCTTTGTTTCAATCTCCATCCCCACAAAAATCTCATCCTATCACCCTTTGTAGATAGTGCAAGATTCGTTCATGCCATCAGAACAAGCGTGAGGTCCCTTTATGAACGAGAGGAATAAGTGATTTTTACGAACATTTGACAAAGTAGGGGTTTCCATGATAGAAATATATAACATTTCAAAATATATAAAAAACATGATTTCGACAGTTGGGCGTGCCTATCGGGTTATTGTTCCAAATCGCATGAGATAGATGCGTTGATTACTCGATTAAATACATCGTCTCCCATGCGTTGATAGTTATCATTGAACATATAGAAACTAACATTACTTCATTTGTAAACAAAATTTAAACTTTCAAATACAAGGAAAACTTCCCTAGTGTAGAAGGCTGGGCTTAGCCACGACTATAGAGCATATTGATGTCGATTGTAGTGTCGCTACCAAATTTACCTGGCCCTAATGTCAGGATTGTATTTCCTCGAGTCTTTCATAGAACCCTTACTTCGGAAGCAAGGTACAACTCTAATGAAGAAGAGGTCGGTTTCTGGAGGTTGAGGTGCATCCGGTTTTGCAAAACGTAAGAGTTTGAAATGTAAAGCAGTGTAGAAGAGTAAATCCTACGCTAACTAAGAAGACGAGAGATTAGGGAAGGAAGGCGTTGCATAGACAAGCTTTCCCTAGGTCTTCTAACCATGCGCCCTCGATTATCAATAGCATAAGAGCTCCGGATTTTTAATCCCGTTAGATCCCACCTTGTGTCGAAACATGTACCCAAACTAATGGGCGGCCAGGACCCTTCGGGTTTTTCCCTTGAGGCATCACGCCGTTCGATCGAATGAAGGTCGATCGAGTAGGACTACTATTTCTAGACCCATCCTAAACAACTAAAATATTTGATCCTTGCACCTCGAAGGAGTGCAGATACATTTTAAGCGCTCATTAGAATCGACAAATAACGAAATAGAGGAAATCAAGCATCACACGACACACATGTGAAAATCATACAATCGTATTAAACAAAATCATCGAGTTTACATGGCTAGAACCCCTAGAGTTCACATACCTACGCAACTAAGGAACATAGGCAGCCATGAGTAGGGATGGCAATGGGTCGGGTTGGGGGAGGGTTTTGCCAAACCCAAACCATGGGTTTATCCGGGAAAAAACCCGGGGTAAAACCGCTGGGTTTGAAAAACTCAAACCCAACTTGCTGGGTATCCGCGGGTTCATGGGTACCCGTGGATTTTTGTGTAAAAAATTAAATTTACAATAACAAGTTTCTTTCAAAATAAAAGTCTAACATAAATTTTCTCATACAAATTATCCATACAAAAAACACCAATATAGAGCATACAAGCAAATCGCAAATTACCAATATAAATTGTTTAACATTAAAGATAAACATCTAAAAACAATATGATTAATTGAAAACTTCTTCCTCCTTGTCAACTAAGCTTCTTCACTCTCCACTTCATAATATCAAATTCATTCTACAACTAGAAAGAACAAATTAGACATGTCTCCACAAACAAAAAGAAGATTAGTTGTTTAAGAAAGATATATTGTTTGGAATATTAAATATACCAAAAAATTAATTATATGGGTGTGGGCGGGTACCCATGGTGTGGGTATACCTAAACCCAAACCCAACCCATGAATAGTATAGCGGGTTTAAACCTGAACCCGACCCAAAATCCGTCAACATGGGTTTTATCCGCGTAGACCGGGTTGGGTCGGGTAGGATACCCGTGGGTTCGGGTTTTGTTGTCATCCCTAGCCATGAGGAGGGCTTCGTGGGTGTTCATCGATGGAAATAAAGACACCAGGAGAACCACTAGAATCGGCGTCTGGAGAAGAGAAAGCAAGTAATGGGGCACCGTTTTGGGAACCGATTCTCACTCATAGGATAGTCTCGTTCTAAGGAGGGTTACTTTGTCGACATTGTAACGACCCTTCCCTTAACCTCTCGTCTCCTCCCCTCGAACTCTACCTTTAGGGCTCTATTTGTAGAACACTCTAAACATGTGGCTAGAGAATCAGGATGCTCTGGATAACTTCTTGATGAAGTCGACAAGCTCCATAATGAGCATTTCTTCGAGTTCCACCTAAGAGTCCTCGTTAAGAACCCGATCCAATCACTTTTCCTTAAAGTTATGCACTCAAATCGCTTTTTTAGAAACTAATATAGCATTTGATCGCTTGCCATTTCAAAGATTCGCCTTGATTGCTTTCGACTTCAGCAATGAAGACATCACAACGTCTGTCTCCAGTGATCAATGACTAAATCTCTTTAGAGTTAGGCAATCAAGCCGAAACATGCATAGATTAAGAAAATTCTTCTACAACTATTATCTTTTGATTTTTTTTTAACAACTAGGAAAATATCCCATAATGGGAAGAAAAATAACAGAACAAAGAGCTGGAAGGGCACCACACAAACCTTTTCTTTTGTACAGTGTTAGTGGCTGGCGCTGCCTCTTCAATCTTCACCGGCGAAGTGGAGTCCGACCGGAGAAGATGGGTCTACAGGTCTACTGCTAGCACCTTTTTCTTAAACAAACTTTATGAAGTACGAAATAATTGAAAAAATCTGGGCGGCTGGCTTCCAATTCCCAAATATTGCCCTGCTCTCACACTGCAACTCAAAGTGCCCAACCTACCACTCTTGCAGCGGCCACTTATCTCCCACTCAACGAGTGCTTTATTTCACAAAAAAATAAATTCTTTCTTCCACAATTCCATGTCCGTCCCGTGATTCCAACTTTTTGCCTCCATCTTCCCCCCTCTTCATCTTCTCCAGTAAACGACACAATCCCTCCTATCTCGTGAAGACTTCTCAGCGATTCCTCATCTTTTTAAATCCGTTTGTAAAATGGAGCCACTCCGACTCCAATGGCTAGACCCACTTCAATGGCAGAAACCAACTCGCCTTTCTCTGCGCTCAGTGTTGTACTCCTTTCCCTTCTGCTCCCCTTTCTGGGTTCTGCTCTTACTGCTGGTGGCTCGATTCGGTCTCCATTTCCTCGGCAATATCAGGTACAAAACCCCCGCATTTCCCCATTGGAGAGAGCTTTACCACTCTTTGTAGTCTTACTTGTAGACTGTAGTTGTTGATTTAATATGCTTAAATTGGATTCAGCATTACGATATGAATGAATGAACATAATTGGTGGCAATGTTTGTTGTCTACTTATCTAGTATTCTAGTTCAACACCTGTGACACTGATTTGTGCTTCTCTTTTGTAAAGAGCAAATATGGAGGGGTTGCTGCTGCTGTGGGGGCTAACAACATAATACTGAATCCAAGGTTTGAGGATGGACTCAAGAATTGGTCTGCAAAAGGTTGCAGGATCGAGTTACATGAATCAATGGCTGACGGGAAAATCGTGCCTCAATTGGGGAAACTCTTTGTTTCAGCAACAGATCGTACTGAAGCATGGAATGGCATTGAGCAAGAGCTCACTGGACGTGTACAGCGAGAGGTTGCTTATGGGGTTACTGCTATAGCTCGGATATATGGCAACGTCACTGCTGCTACTTTGCAGCTCACTCTGTGGGTTCAAGAGCAAGACCGTCGTGAAGAGTATATATCTATTGCCAGGTCAGTTTTCTTTAGTTTTAAGTTTGAAAACAAAGTTAATGTTTACCATTATATAATGAGGATATGCTGGCTTTGTGCTGCAGCTTGCAGGTATCAGACAAAGACTGGGTGCAATTGCAAGGAGAGTTCCTTCTTAATGGCTTCCCGTCAAGAGTGATTATATACTTCGAAGGTCCACCAGCAGGCACTGATATTCTTATCAATAGTTTGGTTGTTCAGCATGCTGCCAAAATGCCTTCGTCAGCCCGCCCAGTTTTCCAGGTCGGTGAATCTTTTTGGTCCCCTCCGTTAGTATCATTTTACAAGACATGGATTCTGAAATCCAGGTTTTAAACTCTTTATAGGATCCACCATTTGATGTGAATGTGATTGAGAACAGCAATCTCGATGATGGCACAACTGCTGGCTGGTTTGCACTAGGCAATTGCTTACTGACTGTGGAAAGAGGTTCCCCGTATGTTCTCCCTCCAATGGCAAGAGATTCACTTGGTCCTCACGAGTCATTGAGCAGTCAGTACATGCGAGTAACCAACCGAACCGAGTCTTGGATGGGTCCTGCACAGATAGTGACCGACAAACTGAGAGTGTACTTGACGTATCAAGTATCAGCATGGGTTCGAATCAGTCATGGAGGCACAACTGGTCCTCAGTTTGTGAATGCTGCACTGGGAGTTGATGGGCAGTGGATCAATGGCGGTGAAGTTGAAGTGAACGATGGAAACTGGCATGAAATTGGAGGGTCTTTCAGGCTTGAGAAGCAGCCGTCTAATGCTATGGTTTATGTCCAAGGACCTGCATCAGGTGTTGACTTAATGGTTGCTGGGCTTCAGATTTTCGCTGTCAACAGGAAGGCAAGGTTTAGTTATTTGAGGAAGCAAGCTGATAAGGTAACTTAGTAGAAATGGTGTATTGATTTTGCTTCATTATACTCCGACATGGCTAACAGTTTTTGCTTTGTGTGAGGTAGTAAAGGTCAATTCATCCTTAAAATTCACGATCCATTTATTACAGTACACTTTTCTAAATCTGGCACCCAAACAACAAAATTTTGAAAATGTTCTTGGTACAATTCATCACTTTTAAATCCAACATCCAAATGATCCCGTGATTGTTCTTTCCCCTTGCAGATACGCAAACGGGATGTCGTTTTGAAATTCTCAGGATCTGGTCTCAGCAACAGTTCTGTTAGCGTGAAGCAGACGCAAAATAGTTTTCCTCTGGGTTCTTGTATCACTAGAACAAGCCTGGACAATGAAAATTTTGTCAAGTTCTTGACAGACAATTTCAACTGGGCTGTGTTCGAAAACGAGATGAAGTGGTCATGGACAGAACCTCAACAAGGTACCTTCAATTACAAGGAAGCGGACGAGATGTTAGACTTCTGCAAAACCCACAACCTGAAAGTCCGAGGTCACTGCATCTTCTGGGAAATGGAGTACGCAATCCAATCATGGGTTCGATCGCTCAATGAAACTAGCTTAACCAATGCTGTTGAGAACCGACTTTATAACCTTCTCACACGGTACAAGGGGAAGTTCGATCACTATGATGTAAACAACGAGATGCTCCACGGATCTTTCTACCAGGGGAGATTGGGTTATGATATTAGAGCCCACATGTTCAGAACTGCCCACCAGCTCGACCCATCCGCAGCCCTTTTTGTTAACGACTATCACATTGAGGATGGAAGTGACGTTGGTTCAACGCCAGAGAAGTACATCAAACAAGTCCTCGACCTTCGAGAGCAAGGCGCACAAATTGGAGGGATTGGTGTTCAGGGGCACATCGAAGTTCCAGTTGGGTCTATTGTTTCTTCTGCCTTTGATAAACTTGGCACTCTTGGACTGCCCGTATGGATAACTGAACTTGATGTGTCTTCCGCCAATGAGTTTATCAGAGCCGAAGATTTGGAAGTAATGCTTCGTGAAGCTTTTGCTCATCCTGCTGTGGAAGGTGTGGTTCTCTGGGGATTTTGGGAGCTGTACATGTCAAGGAAGAATGCACATTTGGTGAATGCAAATGGCAAGATCAACCAAGCGGGGAAAAGGTTTCTGTCTCTTAAAAAAGAATGGCTGTCTCAGGCCAATGGCGGGATTACCGAGCAGGGAGAGTTCAAATTCAGAGGCTTTCATGGGACTTACGACGTTGAGATTGTGTCGTCGTCGTCACAGAGAATAAGCAAAACATTCATTATCGATAAAGGGTATTCCCCACTGGTAGTGTCCATCGACCTAATGTGATTAAAGTTTGAAACTTTGTTGTTTCTGTTTCAAGGAAATTTTTCAGAGAAGACTTATAAACTTCATCTACTGTTATGTTTCCTGTGTGGGGGGAAGGGTGGGATATTGAACGCCCATCTTCCGCCACCTAACTTCAGTTTATAAAATTCAACTAAATTTAAACATCTCAGTCTTGGAACCAAAGCCTTCTGAGAATTGGGATATTTGAGTGGGGAAGAAAGAAGATGGAGGAGGATACCTTAATACCCTATGGGCTTATAGCCTATAAGCCTTCTATTCCAATTCAAGTATCTCCAATCCTGCAAGACAAAGGCAATTGCAGTACACGAGAAGTTTGCCGTTCCGGATGAAGACAGCAATGTAAAAGAACTGTGGATAAATGGGTTCATTTCTTTCATTCTGTTTGGGTCGGAATTGGAAGGGAAGCAAGCTAGTTGATTTGCATTAACTAATTTCAGTTTCCTTCTTTTGTTTTTGGATGAACACTTTGCTGCGTCAAGCTAACGGCTTTTCCCCCATTTTTCTATTTCCTTTTTCTCTCTTTTCTGTTTGAAGGGATGTGATTGGCTGCTGGGTCACTAGACGCGGGTAGTTGGAGCCGAGGTTTTCGTAGAGTTTACTTGAACGAACGCAACTGCAAGCAAAGACAATTCAACTTGTTTCACGGAAACTGGAAAAGTCCGCCAAATAAGGGACGCCCTGTTTTCGAAAGCGGCGGGAAGGGTATAAAAATGAGGAGGATCTCAGTCTGCTGCTTCACCGGTCAAGCGGCTAATACTAATCGCCGGAAGAAGAAGCAAATTCAGGTGGCCATTTCCCGAATCTATCTCTCTCTCTCCCTGTTCACATTTCTTTAAGCAGATTCAGCTGTTCAAATAAATGTATACATCTGCCGCCGAAAGCTCATGTTTTTAGTTGCTTTTTTCTTGGGTTAGGAATCCAAACCATCAACGGAAAACAGAATGGAGCAACCCCAGATGACGAACGATAGCAATGGCGCTGGCAATTCGGAGGTAATCAAATAATAATGAATTAATGTGTGTTGACCCAAAACCCTCGAGGACGAACAGGAAGATTTTTTTTTTAATTCATTAAAGGTGTATTTTTCATATTAAGATGCATTTTATTCTTGACTCGGTATGGGGGTTGGCGAAATGGGATTCTTGTGAATTAAGCTATCAGGTGATTGGGAACTTCCACAGCTTGTACTGATCTGTGGCAAAAGACTGTTCCTTTCCATTTTTCAAGCTAACTGATGTTTTAACAAACTTCACCGCATTCCTCAAATTTTCACTGACCAGTATTTAGTTCATTGGCTTCCTTACTTACCCAAATTCATCAGTGTCTTGTTACTTACACCCAAGAATCATTTGAAAGCTCGAGGAGTCGATTTGAAAGTTCTTAATCCTTATTAAAGTAGTTGCTGCTGGAATGCCTTTGAATGAACTCTCCTGGTGCTATCATCATTAATCATTATGAGATGCAGGACTACTTTGGTGCCAGGATGAAGTATCTTCTTCTGGTTAACTATTATCTAAACAACACTAAATCTTCCACACAATAAAAATGGTCTAGTTTGTGCTAGATAGGATATTACTTAAAAGCAATGTTGTCAAAACCGAAAAGGAGCATGAACCGATATAGTGAGCGGCTCGCACTTTATTGGTTTGACCGGTATTAGGCCGTTAAAAAACCGTTAACGAACTGATACCTTGTAAACAAGAATATCATAACTACTAAACACATAAAAACACACTAAACCATAAATTAAAAATAGAATTCATCACTATTAAACCAATTTTAAATTTAGTACTAAAGTTCCAAGGTTCAAACATGAACCATATTGTTTTCAAATAAAAGCAACAAAACAATAGTAAAATTTGTATATTTTTCCATTTTAGATCTAAAATCCAAAATTTAGATTCCTACTCATAACCCTCTAGAATTATGAAAATGTTATGGAAAGAAACCTAATTTGTCCATAATTACCCAAAATAAAATTGAAAAAAAACTAAAAAATTATCCGACCGAAATGTGCAGATGGCATTGGGAAGGAAAGACGTTCTCATAATTTCATTTCCAAGGCCGCGCATGCAATAACATCTAGCCATCTACCCTTTTCCATAAGAGTCTGAATGTGTTTTTTAACAAAAAAAACTAATGATCACTAAAAGAATATTGGTGCACCGTAAAAAGAGATGAAAAAGGCTATTTTCCCGGGAAGCGAGGAGACAGCCCAGGATGAAGTATCTTCTTCTGGTTAACTATTATCTAAGCAACACTAAATCTTCCACACAATAAAAATGGTCTAGTTTGTGCTAGATAGGATATTAACTAAAAGAGACTTTTTTTTTATTTGCTCCTACCTGTTCTCGACAGACTGTGGGTGATAGTATGGGTAATTCAAACAGCAGCAACAGCAAAACAAACATCATCGTAAACCATGACTTCTCTCAAGGGCTTCAATCCTGGCACCCAAATTCTTGTGAAGGATTTGTGGTTTCATCCGACTCGGACAACCCAGGGCTTCTTGCAAGACTAGTTGGCGGTTATGCAGTTGTTTCAAACCGGAAAGAAAGCTGGCAGGGTCTTGAGCAGGATATCACTGCTAGGGTTTCTCCCTGTGTAACTTACTCAGTATCTGCTATTGTTGGTGTATCGGGTCACATTCAGGGATCAGCAGAGGTTATTGCAACTATGAAGCTCGAACAACAAGGCTCAGGAACCCAATACTTGCGTGTTGGAAAGTAATGATCTGTTAACCTCTCCTCTTTTTGCGTTCTTTGTCGTCCATCAGTATCATACTTAATGCAGTGATCACTTGCAGATCTACCGTATCGAAGGGTCAGCTTGAAAAGTTGGAAGGCGACTTCTGTTTGTCAACTATGCCTGACCGGGTGGTCTTCTATATCGAAGGACCTTCTGCAGGAGCTGACATACTTATAGCATCAGTGATCATTTTCTGTTCTAAGCAAGGAAATGACAATGATGTAAGCAGCAGCAGCTCAACTAATGTGATACTAAACCATGACTTCTCTCAAGGGCTGCAGTCATGGCACACAAATCAATGTGATGGCCATGTGGTTTCCTTAGACTTGGGTCATCCAAGACATCTAGCCAATGAAGTCGGTTCTTATGCAGTTGTATCAAATAGAACAGAAAGATGGCAGGGCCTTGAACAAGATATCACGAGCAAGGTTTCCCCTGGCTTAACATACTCAGTTTCCGCCCTTGTTGGAATCTCTGGGCCTACTGAAGGGTCATCTGAGGAGGCCCTAGCAACTTTGAAACTCGAACACACTGGTTCAGGAGCAAACTATATGCTTGTTGGAAAGTATGATCTTCTGGCTTCAACTTTCTTTATCTACGTTATCTTTTAGTGAAGTATGAATCATTCTCTAATCTGGGTAGAATTGCAGAACTTCTACGTCCAAGGGGAAATGGAACAAGTTGGAAGGAACATTCTCACTTTCGACTATCCCTGACCGTGTATTCTTGTACTTAGAAGGACCTTCTCCCGGAGTGAACCTCCTGATAAAATCTGTCGTCATCTGCAATCCTGATTGCAGCAAGCCCAAGGTAACTACTCCCGACCAGTGTAGTCAAACTATACATTCTATGTCAGATTGAAAAGCATGGTAGAACTGGAAGTGTATAAGTGAATTGAAGAATCGTAAGATTCCATGTGTCATGCAAAATGATTACATTTTTCAACGTTTTGTCTTTTTTTAGAGATTCAAATCAATTTATTACAAAGCAAAATATGTGAAATAGTTGGTGTCTGAAAGCAATTCAGAATCCTATTTCTATAAGTTGCAACAACGGCATTGATGTTTCATATAACCTATTTCAAATGTCTAATTCGTGTCTTTTTTTCCTTAACTATCTCTAAACATTCAGAATCTTGTGATTTCAACTCAATCAGTACTCATCCTTTACCCACACCTAAAGTAGTCATTCTATACATTTTGCAAGAAATTAAAAACCAATTTCAAATTAGAATAGTAAACTTATATCGTATAATCGTAAGATTTTGTGAACCGCATATGAACTTGTGAAATATGATTCTCAGTAATAGGATCATATGATCTTATCCATATTTAATATCTGGTGTAAATTCTATCCTTAATCTACTAAGGTCATTGATTCCGCGAGTAAAATCATAAAATTATATGACAAATGATCACACTATCTTTACTTGAGTAAACTCCTAAAAGTGGTAGGTTATTAGGAGTTTATACTTGGGATTTCTCTGCACTGCTCTTAAAAGTGTTACTCTAGCCTTTCTATTTTGTTTGCCGTTTCTTGCTGCAATGTTTCAGTACATAATCATAAAAGTATGCATCTTAAATTGGGCAGGACTCATTTTGTGGGAGCGCTGCAAAGGACGATGAGAACCTCATTGTGAATCATAACTTTGAGGATGGTTCCAATAACTGGTCTGGAAGAGGGTGCAAGATCGCTGTACAGAATTCTGCAGCAGATGGGAAGATTGTGCCTCAGAGCGGTAAAGTGTTTGCAGTAGCAACAGGACGAACGCAGAACTGGCATGGAATTCAGCAGGAGATAACTGGGAGAGTTCAAAGGAAGCTTGCTTATGAGGTGACTGCTGTAGTTCGAATTTATGGTAACAACGTCACAAGTGCTGATGTCCGAGCTACACTGTGGGTCAAAAATCCTGATAATAGGGAACAATATATTGGGATTGCCAAGTTAGTCTCTTTTCCCTTCTCCCAACTTAAGTTTCCTCTTCTTCTGACTGATTTTCTCTATCATGCTCCAGAATCACGATTAAAATGTTACACCTTTGGTATATGATATTACCATATCTCTTCTGTTTCTGATAAAAAGTTGAGAATGAAATTTTAACACTTGAGCATACTAGCATGTAAATGACAATTCTTATATCAAAAGGATGACTAACGATATTTTGAACTAAGGAGTATAGATGCTTACTATGATGTATTTTGCTTACATTCAACATGATTTATATGGCGTTATAGGTAGAAGATGTTTTCTTTTAGATTCCCAAAAGCTTACTGCGTTTAGGCAAAGCTTTACTCTTAACTCTTAAGAGACTGATATGATTCAAAGTTTAAGATTTCAATTTTACATAGGTTTTTTATTCCGTGTAACTACATTGGGTGTGGATAGAGGCCTTAAACTTTGAATGTTTACAAATTACAACACTCTGACGCCCCTGATTCCATCCTACTTTTCTATTCTATCTACGCAGAATCTATACTTTTGAGTGCCTAGGCATTGATAAATTGTTTTGCTGTACAGATTGCAGGCAAAAGACTCGGAATGGGTGCAGCTGCAGGGCAAGTTCCTTCTGAATGGCTCTCCTAACAAGATAGTTGTTTATCTAGAAGGTCCACCTCCAGGGACTGATCTTCTCGTAAACAGCTTCACACTTAAACATGCCACGAAAGTCCCTCCATCGCCACTTCCCATAATCGAGGTTGGGCTCCTGCATTTAAAAATCATAAAATTATATGACAAATGATCAAACTATCTTTACTTGAGTAAACTCCTAAAAGTGGCAAGTTATTAGGAGTTTATACTCGGGATTTCTCTGCACTGCTCTTTTGTTACTCTAGCCTTTCTATTTTGTTTGCCGTTTCTTGCTGCAATGTTTCAGTACATAATCATAAAAGTATGTAAAATTGGGCAGGACTCATTTTGTGGGAGCGCTGCAAAGGACGATGAGAACCTCATTGTGAATCCTAACTTTGAGGATGGTTCCAATAACTGGTCTGGAAGAGGGTGCAAGATCGCTGTACAGAATTCTGCAGCAGATGGGAAGATTGTGCCTCAGAGCGGTAAAGTGTTTGCAGTAGCAACAGGACGAACGCAGAACTGGCATGGAATTCAGCAGGAGATAACTGGGAGAGTTCAAAGGAAGCTTGCTTATGAGGTGACTGCTGTAGTTCGAATTTATGGTAACAACGTCACAAGTGCTGATGTCCGAGCTACATTGTGGGTCAAAAATCCTGATAATAGGGAACAATATATTGGGATTGCCAAGTTAGTCTCTTTTCCCTTCTCCCAACTTAAGTTTCCTCTTCTTCTGACTGATTTTCTCTATCATGCCCCAGAATCACGATGAAAATGTTACACCTTTGGTAATTGGTATATGATATTACCATATCTCTTCTGTTTCTGATAAAAAGTTGAGAATGAAATTTTAACACTTGAGCATACTAGCATGTAAATGACCATTCTTATATCAAAAGGATGACTAACGATATTTTGAACTATGGAGTATAGATGCTTACTATGATGTATTTTGCTTACATTCAACATGATTTATATGGCGTTATAGGTAGAAGATGTTTTCTTTTAGATTCCCAAAAGCTTACTGCGTTTAGGCAAGCTTTACTCTTAACTCTTAAGAGACTCATATGATTCAAAGTTTAAGATTTCAATTTTACATAGGTTTTTTATTCCGTGTAACTACATTGGGTGTGGATATAGGCCTTAAACTTTGAATGTTTACAAATTACAACACTCTGACGCCCCTGTTTCCATCCCACTTTTCTATTCTATCTACACAGAATCTATACTTTGAGTGCCTAGGCATTGATAAATTATTTTGCTGTACAGTTTGCAGGCAAAAGACTCGGAATGGGTGCAGCTGCAGGGCAAGTTCCTTCTGAATGGCTCTCCTAACAAGATAGTTGTTTATCTAGAAGGTCCACCTCCAGGGACTGATCTTCTCGTAAACAGCTTCACACTTAAACATGCCACGAAAGTCCCTCCATCGCCACTTCCCATAATCGAGGTTGGGCTCCTGCATTTAAAAAACTTGTAACATAACAGCCTTTCGATGGTCCTTTAACCTCTGACCACGATCTTGATTCTCTTTCAGAACCCTGCATTTGGTGTCAACATACTTCAGAACAGCAATCTGAGCGATGCAACCAATGGGTGGTTCCCACTGGGCAATTGCTCTCTCAATGTTGCAACTGGTTCACCACACGTGCTTCCTCCCATGGCGAGAGAATCTCTTGGAGTCCATGAACCTCTGAGCGGACGCTGCATAGCCGTCACCAAGAGAACACAGACGTGGATGGGACCTGCACAGATGATCACTGATAAAGTCAAACTGTTCTTGACGTATCAGATATCTGCCTGGGTGAAGATTGTGCCTGGAGCTGCCAGTGGTCCTCAGAATGTGAATGTAGCACTTGGTGTGGATAATAATTGGGTGAATGGTGGACAGGTCGAGATCAACGACGATAGGTGGCACGAAATCGGTGGCTCCTTCAGAATCGAGAAGCAACCTTCCAAGGTCATGGTCTACATCCAAGGTCCCGCTGGTGGTGTCGATTTCATGGTCGCCGGGCTTCAGATTTTTGCTGTTGATCGTGTGGCCAGATTCAAGCACCTCAGAAGGCATGCTGACAAGGTAAGCTCCCGCCTCCCAGTCAAGTAATGTCTCTCATTTCGAGTCGTTTTCACAAGGCAAAATCATTTTTCCTGCTGCAGATTCGGAAGCGTGACGTGACCCTGAAATTCACAGGTGGAGACTCAAGCAGCCTGCACGGCACATTCGTCAAAGTCCGACAAACACAGAACAGCTTCCCCTTGGGAACCTGCATAAGCCGGACCAACATCGACAACGAAGATTTCGTCGACTTCTTCGTCAAGAACTTCAACTGGGCCGTGTTCGGCAACGAGCTGAAGTGGTACTGGACGGAGTCCCAGCAGGGGAACCTCAACTATAAGGATGCTGACGACCTGGTGGAACTCTGCCGAGCCCACAACATAGACATGCGAGGCCACTGCATCTTCTGGGACGTGGACGGCACGGTCCAGCCGTGGATCAAGTCCCTAAACAAAGACGACCTCATGAAAGCAGTCCAAAACCGCATCACCGATCTCCTCACCCGATACAAAGGTAAGTTCAAGCACTACGACGTGAACAACGAAATGCTGCACGGTTCGTTCTATCAGGACCGGCTGGGGAAAGACATCCGGCCCTACATGTTCAAGACGGCGAATCAGCTCGACCCATTTGCAGCCCTGTTCGTCAACGACTACCACGTGGAGGACGGGTGCGACACCAGGTCGACTCCAGAGAGGTACATTGAGCAAGTTCTTGACTTGCAGGAGCGAGGTGCAGCAGTGGGAGGGATTGGGATTCAGGGCCATATTGACAGTCCGGTTGGGCCTGTGGTCTGTTCGGCGCTGGATGGGCTGGGAATATTGGGCCTGCCGATCTGGTTCACGGAGCTGGACGTGTCGTCGACGAACGAGTACATACGGGCCGAGGATCTGGAGGTGATGCTGAGAGAGGCGTTTGCGCATCCGTCGGTGGAAGGCGTGATGCTGTGGGGGTTCTGGGAGCTGTTTATGAGCAGGGAGAATTCGCATCTGGTGGAAGCGGAAGGGGAGGTGAATGAAGCTGGGAGGAGGCTGCTGGCTTTGAAGAAAGAGTGGCTGTCTCATGCTAGTGGGGAGATTGACGAGAGTGGTGAGTTTGGGTTCAGAGGGTTTCATGGGAGCTACCGTGTGGAGATTGTTGGGATGTCGAAGAAGGTGACGAAAACGTTTGTGGTTGAGAAGGGTGATGGTGATACTCCGTTGGTTCTGAACATTGATCTGTCTAGTTCTTGAAGGTGGTTGGTTTGGATAAAATAAAAATACGTGTATGAATGACTAAAGAAAGAAGTGGGTTTGGTTTATATTTCCTTGCTAATTGATCGAAATGTTAATATAGATTTCGCTTTGTAATAAAATGATTAAAATGTTTAAAAAGCAATAAGAGTATCAATATGTATGATCATATAATAAAATAATTATTTTGCTTTTTTTTCGTCCAAAATATTTGCTGACTCATTACAAAAATTAAGAAAAAATATCAGATGCCTTACCGACTCTTAAACATACCTTTTACCCAGAGCAAGCTAATTAAGTATTTAAAATGGAAATATGTTATATTGTGATCACTTTGTTACCGACACCCATTGCACTTTCTTTTATCAGTTATCCATGTTTCATTTGCGGGTTAACGGCTAATTTAGTCATCACATAAGCTGCCCTAGTATAATTTTTAACAAAGAAATCCTTCTAATGTTGGGTATCTAACTGAATCGATTGGGTTGGGAGAAATCAACAAATATCACTTTTGCTTGAATTTTCCCAAAAAATTCGACATAGGGTAATGGGTTTTGATCGATGTAGTATTAGTATTTTAGGTATTGAAGCTGAGCCTATTCGAACATGTGTTATAATTCACTTGGTTTAACACTTCGATCATCATATTCCTCAAGTATCAATCTGGCTTTTATGCTCAAAGCACAATCTGTGCGTACGTGTTCTCAGAGGTTGTGAGCCAAGAGATAAGTGTTCGGTGCCTCCTGGTTGTTGGATGGATGTGGTGTCAATTTCGTAAATAAATGTCATTGAGCTCGTCTAGAGGTCCAACCTCTGCGGGCACCATAGTCTGGCTTCTCAAGAATTATTATTGTTATCTTTTAGACCCGAATCTTGCTCAGGACATTTGAAAAAAAAATTCTCATTGTATCAACAACCACTGGCGGATCCAGGGGGTGGCCACCCCAGGCCCCGACCCAGCTCTCCTCTAGATCCGTAGTTACTATATAGTCCTTATGAAATTTTTGATTTTAGACATTCGACCTAGTGTTATTCTATGATAAGATTGGGTTTAACTAGAAAAATTATCAAGTTGAACATATTCAAATCACTACTCTAAATTTAGCCTAGAAATTTTAGCCCCAAAGATTATGCGTCTTAAAAAAACAATGAAACCTAAAATTCTAAAAAGTATAAAACGTAAAAGACTAAAAGAAATATGAGATTTGTTCCCTTAAAAAATTTACTAAAGCAGCTGGTGTGCAGGGATGGACACTCAATGCAAATTGATTAGTCGATCGATTTATCTAGTGTTGATGCTGCTCGTTTCTACATCTACTACGAAGAGAACCTTTTCAACAATGAAACATGTGAGAACTGATTTGCTCAACAAAATGAGCGATGAATTTCTCGCCGATTGCTCAAGTATTTTATTTGAAACAGTGTATACTGTTGGTATGGATATAGACTTCAGTATTGATGCATTGCCTAAATTAAAATACAGTTGTGTACAATTTACATTGCAAAAAACTATAATCATTATATATTTTTTTACGGTTCTAATTTTCTAATGAAATGCGACTCAGTGCTCTTCTGTGTTCTGGATCCGCCGTTGTCAACAACTTTATATATGATTGTGGTGGAGATGGAGTGTAAGGATTTTCCCCTCGAGGTATATGATCAGTAGGTTTTGGTATACCATATGATATCATTGTGTACTTTTTGGTTACGATTTATAAAAAAAAAAACCCCGTAATTTGGAATGCTACATAGGAAAATCAACCCGCCCAAAGTCATTGCTAAACCTAGTAATGCGCTTTCTTTCATCAATTAATGTTAGCCAATATATTAAACATCTTTGTTGACATATATGGTACGTATGATTAGAACGAACCCCAACCTTAATCACTTCACATATGGATGAGGAAGACCAGGAAACAGTCTTATCTTTCTTGGTCTGGAAGACCCAGACTTCCCACATGGCTGAAATGCTAGCTAGCTACTACTAGTAGTCGTCGTGTATGGTTCCTTCCCTTGTTGTTGGCCAACCAAAATTCTTTCATCAATCACTCATCGATTTATCAGTGGCAAGAAATTAGGGCCGTGAAACTGAAAAACCCAGAAACCAGACAAAAACTCGGATCAATTTACAGAATTCCACTTCCACTTTTTGCGAGAAGTAGAGAGGGATGAATGGATGGGAAATGGGGCGCGCGTAGGGTAGAATAGAATAGAGGTGAAGGTGGAGGGGCGTCGGCATCAGACGAGGGAACGTTTGATGTGATCGGCAGCGGGACCTTTGTCTTTCTTTCTGCTCCCCGCAGGCCCCAACTCTCTCTCTCTCTCTCTCCCTGCGTTTTCTTTATCATACGATTCAATAAATAGGCTTCGAACTGTACGTAGATTTTTAGTAGCGTTCTACATATTCAATTTTCACGGAAAACTGTAAAAGCGTACGCCAGCCTTCTCAAAATAACCTTCGTGATATATTGCCCAGCATATGCATCATACACTAACCCTCTGTTTCCGAAGGAAGGGAGGAAAAGGAGGGGAGGTGAAGGAAAATTAGGAGGGGAGGGGAGGGGAGGGGAGATTTGGAGGTGAAGGAAATTGGAAGGAAAATGGTGTTTTATGAAGGAAAGTGGGAAGGAAAATGTGTATTGGGAATTGTAATAGATATGTTATTTTATTGAGTATATATTAGTAAAATAATTTGATTATATGTTGATATTATTTTCATTGTATATATTAGTAAAATAATTTGATTTAAAATCGAACCACCAACATGATATGATTTCACAAATATAGAATAAAAAAATATAATTAAATATTCAATAAATAGATAAGTATCTAATTATTTTCATTGTATAAATTAGTGGGCTTCTAAGATCAAATTATAATGCTAATTTCCCTCTCCCTATTAAAATAACATTAATTCTATTATCAAAAAAAACCCCTTAATTCCACCCCTTATATTGTGTACAAAATGATAAAAAGGCCCCTTTTTTTTGCTTTCCCTCCAATTTGGAGGGGTGGGTTAAATAGTACCCGACCCCTCCCCTTCCCCTCACCTCATCACTGTACAACGCTTCGGAAACGGGGGAAATCCTATTGGAAACCGTGCTTCCCCCCTTTTCCTTTCCATTCCCTCCTTTTCCCTCGCAAAGAAACAGAGGGTAAAAATCAGTGTTTGTGGTTGTGTTACGTTGGTTCATTATGTAAGTCCAAATGATCATATTATGATGTTATAATGGGTGTTTTGACTGTTTTCCTTATCGGCGACACAATGCCTTGCACATCGAAGGTGGAATATCTAACTACAACCTATTCGAGATTTGAATCCAAAGCATTTGAGTTCCACCTGCTTTACGGGTTGACCACTTTGCATGATCATCGACACTAACCATTACTTTAATTAAGACTTGAACACATGTAATTAGCCTCCACCCATGAAAATTTGCAGTCTAGGGTTTCGTAATCTTTACCCAACTAGGGCTCTAAATAGGCCAAGCTCTTCATCAACGACTAGGTGTTTGATTCGGGAAAAGCTAGTTCGAAAGTTGGCTTGTTAGTGTTTGAACTAAGTCTCGTTTAGTTTGCGAGGGTTGCAAATCAGATCGACTCGGTGACTCATTGATCTCAATTCGTGAGTTTCTTGTTTCGAACTCATGAATTGGCTCGACATATGGCAAACAAGCCACCTCAACTAGAATCTTGTTATGGAATTTATCTATAGCGCTTACGGGTTAGGTTGATGATAAGTCATAAGTTTGTTAGACAATATATTTTGCAACATATGATTGTTTAATACTTTGAGTACATGTCCAAATATGTCTCATTTATAATTCGGAAGACAAATTATTTACTATAGATGGCTTAAATATAAATTACTATTAAATAATATGAGGGTCAGACTGGCGTACGTTAGACGTATACTATACGTCAGGTGCTACTAGTGAGATATCTCTATCTAGACCATGAATTAAATCGAGAATGGGGAATGATACTATACCCTAACCTCTAATGGATAAACCCCAGACACCGATTTTCTAAACCCCAACCCGATGTTTGATTTAATGAAAAACAAAAACTGACCGTTGAGATTGGCCGGAGCTCATCTAAGTACATCTAACGGCTAGATCACCTGCTGTATACTATACGCCTGACGTACACCAGTCATTACCAATAATATGATATGGACTAGTTAAAATTTACGAACTAAATATTATACCAATGGATTATATAAACATGAAAACGATTAGTTGTGAAAATTTGACTTTTTTATATCATGATATTAATTAGTCACATGTACCATATATGACCTAAATTCTATGTAATCTATGAATTATTATAGAGTTTAATTTAGAGATTCAACCATTTAGAGTCATGAATGAGCCGAGCTCGAGTAGAGCTCTATGAGTTGATTGATGAGTCAAACTCAAACGAAACTTGTGAGCTCGTCAATGATTCGGAGCTCCAGTAGAGCTGTAGGAGAAGTTGGGCTAAGGTTTTTGTAAACCAGCCCAACTCGAGTTTAACTCATTCTTTTAACTAATCAATAGGAATGTTCAAACGGTTATCAGATCATGATAATTACCAAACCAATTAAGCTTATATTAGGTGGCCATATATTGTTGTCTACTGTCCACAAGAACAAATATAGTATAGGAACAATAATGAGCTTTATTTTTTGATGAGTCTAAAAGAGAGGAACACTTGACTCTATCTTGAGTTGTTATGCATATGAGTATATAATATATTAGATATAGTGATATACGGCTAGCCAATTGGTTTGATTGGTTATAACCGTTTCTTTAACCAAACTAATTAAACAACCTAAACAATTTAACCAGACAAAACCACATATTTAAATTAACCAAACCTGTTGATATGACTTGAATCGGATTATCAGCCGCTACGACTGGTAACCGTTTCCTTTGTCAGATTGGATTAGGTTTAGACCCACATGGAGAAGTACTATAAATACTTCTAATACTCCTCTGTAATCTGTAATCTCCTTGATATAGTGAAATCGGCTCTCTCTCTCGCCCGTGGACGTAGCTAACACACATCGTGTTGGTGAACCACGTAAATCGTGTGTCGTGTTTTCGATTCTCGCTTTCGTATTCTTGCTTTGTCGATTCTGGCGATTTCCTGATCCGTAGCAGCGCGTTTATAACAAGTGGTATCAGAGCCGCGGCTGGAAATCAGGCTAGGGTTTTCGATTCAGAAGAATG